ATTGTTGGAGTCTTGCCGCGCAGAATCCTCGCCCGAGGTGCTGTGTAAATATGATTCTATCTTGGTAGGTCCAATGATCTCTAGTAGTTCGTAGCAGAGCGTGTCTACGATCTCTTGTAACGCCTGGTTATATGCCTTCTCCTCGTCCTGTGCGCCGGCCTCATAGTTGATTTCCAGCTCTTTTAACTGACCACCTAACTCTACGATATCGTCTCGGAGTCTCGATTTCTCTGAAGCCGGAGCTAAATCTAAGCTTGTCCATGACTGGGTGATGCGCCCTCGGATATCTGCCGTCCTCTCTTCGTATATTTCAGCCGGAGATTTGGCAATTGACAACCTAGAACTACATCGGACAACTATCTCTTCGACCTTTTTAAACCGATGCAGAATTTCTTCAGGTGCCATTCCGGAAAGCGTTCGGGGATGTAAGTGAGTAATCGCGGCGACTGAGTCCGAAGGAATGTAGCAATGGTTGGAGGCGATGACTGGCTGACTAGCTACAGTTCTCCGGTCGCGCGCTGTAGCAGTTCCTTGGCGCAAGGAATATCGTCTGATGCCTACGCGAAACGAACGTCGCGCGTGGTCAGAAGTGAAAGGGAGGTTTAATAGTCATTATAGGATGTTTGACTAGAAAGCTCCGAGATGCGTCAGAGTTAAAACGCCAACGGGTAATTGTTAGATTGGCGGCTGGGAATGGGCTCCACTTTCGTTTATCACAATATTATTCTTGTAACGTACATGATAAGCGAAATGGTCAGATAAGCGAAATGGTCACTTTTCCCTCAATCTCTCCTCTTTCTATTTGATTACTTATTTCTCAACCACCTAATATGCCACAATCAATTAATGAGGCAAATATCATTCTTGCACTTCAAGCCTACCAGAATGACCCAAAATTGAGTCTTCGACGCGCTGCAAAGATCTATAAAGTTCGCTATAGTAACCTCCTTAACCGATATAATGGCATTCCTGCTCGACGCGATATAATGCCTAATTCACGCAAACTATCTGATTTAGAGGAAGAGACTCTTATTCAGTTTATTCTTGACCTGGATTCGCGAGGATTTCCCCCCCGGCTATGTAGTGTGAAAGAAATGGCTGATCAATTACTTGCCGACCGCGACGCGCCACCAGTCGGCACGCGTTGGGCTTCAAACTTCGTCAAGCGACACCCAGACCTTAAGACGCGTTCTTTTCGGAAATACGACTACCAGAGAGCCAAGTGTGAAGATCCAACTATTATCCGTAACTGGTTTACGCTTGTGTCGAATACAATCGCGAAATATGGCATCCGATCAAATGATATCTATAACGTTGACGAGACTGGCTTTCTTATGGGCATGATTGCAAGCGGAATGGTCGTCACAGGTACAGATAGGCGTGGAAAACCAAAATCAGTGCAGCCTAGAAACCGGGAATGGATTACGGTCATTCAGGCGATTAATGCAGATGGCTGGGCGGTCCAGCCGTTTATCATCGGTGCGGGCCAATATCACCTCGCCAACTGGTACCGAGAAAGCAACCTCCCGGGCGATTGGGCTATTACAACAACCCAAAATGGCTGGACCGATAATAAGACCGGTTTAGAGTGGCTAAAGCACTTTGACCAGTGTACGACCAATCGATCAACTGGTTCCTATCGTCTCTTAATCCTTGATGGGCATGAAAGCCACCACTCGATCGACTTCGAGAGATATTGCGAGGAAAATAAGATCATTAGGCTTTGTATGCCGCCTCATTCGTCTCATCTACTTCAGCCCCTTGACGTCGGGTGCTTTAGCGTTCTTAAGAATGCTTACGGTCGAGAAATAGAGCATTTGATCAGATGCTCTATAACCCACGTTTCGAAGACTGAGTTCTTTCCGGCCTTTTATGCCGCATTTCAAGCCACTATGACAGAAAGAAATATCAAGTCGGCCTTTAGAGGAGCTGGGCTTGTTCCTCTTAATGCGGAAAATGTGGTCTCAAAGCTTGATATGCAGCAACGGACTCCAACGCCAGTTGAGGAGATGGCTAGCCCGTCAACACCTTGGGTCTCAAAGACCCCAAAGACCGTGCTTGAGGCTGGGTCTCAGTCTGAATATATTGAAAGACGAATTAGAAGGCATCAGAACAGCTCCCCAGAGTCAATCCTAGGCGCTCTGAAGTCTCTTTCAAAGGGAACAAAGGCAGTTATGCATGAGGTTACCTTATTACGGGGTCAGGTCCAAGACCTTCAACAGGCAAATGAGGTATTAAGCCGGCGCCGGAGGGCAAGAAGGACCCGACTGCAGAAAAGAGGGGTAATGACAGTAGAGGAAGGAAGGCAAGTAATTGATCAGATGGATGTTGATGCGCAGTTAGTGGCCGAATCATCCCGAAGTGGTGGTCAAGGAAGGTCGGCGCGACCAAGGGTTCGGCATTGTGGTATATGCGGTAAGCCTGGTCATAATGCAAGAACCTGTTAGGTAATAATTGAGACATCTGGGGAAGAGTATAGTGAGTAGTTTTAATTAATTAATTAATTTGTTGTGTTTTTATTCCGATTTCTAGTTTAGAGGTCGAGAAAAGTGACCATTTCGCTTATCTGACCATTTCGCTTATCTGACCATTTCGCTTATCATGTACGTTAACTTAATTAATAACCTTATTAATAGCTACTAGAGTATAAGAAGCTATCTCTAACTTTATCCCTTACCATCCACAACCCCTCTTTCGGCATAACCCCTCTTTCGGCAAGCAAAATAAAAAAGCCACCACCAAAAATCAACAACTTCACTTACACAGAACTTGACCGAATTGATAGAAATCCGTGAAATTTTTCGTTTCATAAATCATAAATAGGGTTTATCTATTGTACTCTGGTTTTTTTCGCCACCCGCCGCGACCGCCTGGGTGGTTGGTGGGGTATGTTTTCCTCTCTGACTTCGATGACAGAACCAGCCTCCGATTCTGACTCTTGCTCGCTTGAAGAGACAAATTCCACCCCAACAGGCATATAACGAGTCGCCCCTTCTGGTATGCACTCTTTACTAGCTAGAGTCTCTCCAAGAGTCATAAAACGTTTGTTAGGATTCGGCACCGCCTTCCTCTTCTTCCCTCTTTTCAGCCGAGCCAATTCTTCTTCTAGGCTGGCAATCCTCTGCGTATGCGCCGCTACTGTCTGCTGTTGAGCTTCAAAGCCCTTGGCTATCACGTTATACCGTCTCCGCGTCTTTGGTGTTTTGTTCAACCCAAGGTCACGAATTTGACGGCTCGTCTGTGGCGTATCGTCCGAGCCAAGATACGGCCTGGGTTCAGGAGTCACTCTTGGGCTGCCGTTTGGCCCATCTTGTTGGATTTCAGGGTGCCGTAACGCTTTCGCACGTGAAATTGGCCAGTTCCCAGTGACCCTCCAGCCAGACAGTATGTTCTTCTTGGTCATTCCAACTCGGCGAGCCTTGGCGTAGGCCCTGATGAAATTGACCTTGTCCATTGGAGCGGAATCAGTCAACGAAGCGAACTTTTCCAACTCTCGTCGATATGCAGCCTTCGACGCATTAAATACTCCATTGTCCAGTGGCTGGAGTCCATGAGAGCAGTGTGCTGGTAGATAGCAGCAATAAACGTTGTTCAAAAAGCACGTGGCCATCCATTCATCCTTCCATCACTCAGCACTGATCTTGAGGTGGGGAAAATAGTGAACATATTGTTGCATGGCTTCCATGACCATCTAAAATGATCAGTCTCGCATCAGAGTCGTCGGCAGGCGTAGTCTGGGGCAGATAAACTCTTTCAAGCCATTCAATGCCTATGTGGTCATCAGTCCACCCGTTGGGCGATGTTATATAATACCAGTCTGCTATCTGCTTGAACTCATCAAGAAACCACTGTTTCTGGAGTTGTTTCCCCTTGAATATTATGCCAGGAACTAAAGCGCGGCCGTCAGCAGTGACGGCTTCGATGAATGAAGTCCAATTCCGAGTCTGTGGTCCCTTGAGGAAGGCCTTGCGCTTCGGGTCCGCGCTTCCAACAACTAAGCTATCTAGGCCTGAATGAAGATAATTAGTCGGTCAAAATGCAAGCACCGACAAGTAATAGAGGTGAATACTTGCCGAAACCAGTCATAATACCGCCTTCATCAACGTTGACGGTGTTTTCAGGCTTGATCCAACCATATTGGCCCTCCCTGATATCAAAGTACCAATGAACCGCTCTAGGTGTGAAAGAGTCGAACCTCTTGGCTTCTTGACGTCTGCCCATCTTGGTCTTTAGGTCTGCACGGCGATTGATAAACTTGTTCACCCAGTTGCGTCCTAAGTCGGGATGTTCGCCCTGCTGTCTCAGCAGGCCCATGACGCAAGCGCGGATCTGACTGTGGGACGGAGCATAGCCCAAAGACTGCTGACGGAGTATCCAGAAAGCGAGCCTATCCTCTTGGCTCTTGGACAAGCGTCGATAAGGGTGGACCTGCTCTTTCACGGCCCCGCGGCCGTTAAGTCTGTCGATTAGAGTGCTCCGAGGCACTCCCCGTCTCTGAGCGGCTTGAGGAGGTGAAAAACCATTATCAGTAACATCCAATATTGCCTCTGCCATGTCTTCCTCTGTGTATTTCCATCGAAGTCTTGACCTAGGCATTTTCATATGTTGTCGCAGATAAAGGCCAAAAAACACAGAAAAGAGCGGTGAAGAACTTGATGATCGAATTAACACTATTTCTATAGCACGGTATGCATACATCGCGTACCCCGCACAGCCTTAGAGGGCTACAATCGTTAACTCCAATCATTTCTATAATCAGCAAAGGCATTGTCCTCCAAGTAGCTATTTATTTTGGCCAATATTTGTGTAAGTGAAGTTGATGAGTTTTGGTGAAGCTTTTTTTATTTTGCTTGCCGAAAGAGGGGTTATGCCGAAAGAGGGGTTATGCCGAAAGAGGGGTTGTGGATGGTATTGCTAGAAGCAGAAGAAATTCTTATATAAAACCATAAACCATAAAACCACAAAAATGACTCTTCTCAGTGGAAGGATTGTCATATATGACATGCGTCTCTATTTTAAGCTTAATGCATTCACCTATATCGTTTAAGCGTTAGAGTAATATATGTACAGGCTTTTAGGGTAAATAACATTCTTCTGATCTTCTACATAGAGATTGAGGATAAGCTTTAAAATTCCGCGCTGGTAGAATGAAAAAGAGCGACCTTGTAAATAGGGTTAGTATTAGCTACCTGTGCTAAGTAGGGGCCTACACGCCTTAACATTTTGAATAGAAGCGACCTTAAGTATATCTAAGCTTTGAAGTCTTTTGAAATTTAAGTTGACTCTTGCATATTTCTCCTAGCTTTTTATATGCTTCGCGAAGGGGCTTGTAGGCGAGTTTCTCATCCCTGCGAATAGCGAGCTCGAGAAACTCGATCGCAACACGGCATCGAAGTTCTGTAAGGCAGCGTCAGTATCAAATGAATCAAGATCATCCACAAATACAAAGTCTTACCATCACCTGGATCATGACCAGGAGTAAGCAGAATTGGCTCATGGTGACAATTGCCTCCTGGATCTGCTATGCCTTCCCAGACAGCGCTTCCAAAGAGATAAGCAGCCCGACCATCGCGTTCACCCGCGCGTTTCTTGAGATTTTGGATTTGGAGTGTGGATAGCTGGCACTCAGCAGGTAACTTATTTTCCTTGATCACATCATCGAGTAGTTGGAAAACCTGCTCATTTATCTCGTCATCTGACATGTTTTGAAGCTGTTGTTGGATCGGAGGTGCCTGCAGGATTTCGATCAGCCTATCCTTGACAGCCATTGCCGACGGTCGTTGTCTAGGATCCTTGCTGCAGCATCTTCGCACGAGACTTGCAACTTTAGCATAGACTGGGTCGCTTTGATCAGAATCCCAAGGAAGAGTACCGGCCTTAATTGATTCCCTAATCTCAGTTACTTGATCGCCTTGCAGAACCTTTTTGTTTATGCTGAAAGGCGGCTTTCGGGAGATACATTGCCATATCAGGACTCCAAGACTGGATACGGTTTAAAAAGGTTAGTCGTTAAAGGGAAGGCGAAGCGGGATCATACCTCCAGATGTCTGTCTGTATTGTATGCTGCCGAATTTGTTGCTTTTCTGGAGCTTCATATCGAGCATCGTACTTTTCTCCGCCCGTTATCTCATTCATCTGTCAAACCATCAAATCAGTGGTTTTCATCAATAGGAGCGTTATGAGTAGCTACCATCCTGGCTCGATCGATCTCCGTCAAGTACGGTACCAACTGCGAGTTCTCGGTTACCAACAGAACCGTTTGATCTGTCAGGCTTTTGAGAAGGATCTCCACTGAGTGCAGGTAAGTCATCGTTGTTGCAACATCAGCGGCCACCTTGACTCTATCCATGACCTCCTCTAGACACCTCTCATCTGAGAGCGCGCTAGCTAGAGATGGAGAGCCTCGAAGGTTTTGGAACACAAGCCAACGCATTCCATTATACCTTGCGATACCGTAGAATGGATGAACCAGACAACGTGCTGAGAGTTTGCTGTAAATTGCTACATGCCTTGGACCCTTTTCTCCGACGCGCATTAAGCTCTCCTTGACTTTAGTACAAACGATGGACACTGAATGAGAGTCTGAGACTTGGAGTGTCCCAACGAGCTCTTCTGATGTTTCAGTGGTGATCTGGAGACGCGCGTCGCCATCTTCAAAGTCCACGACTGCATCATCGGTCGCACCGATACCTTCTTGATTGTTCTTGATGTCCTCAAGGATGCTGAGCTTATCCAGAACCTCAGCATGATACTGGTCCGTTCGATCAAGTTGCAGCCGACTTTCGTCCAGCAATTTGAGAACATCTTCTTTCAACTCAAGCTTTTCCCCTGTTAGCCAGTCATAAGTACCAGGCGATAAGATGAACAGACTGTGTTCTCAGCCGTCAAGTAAGTAGTCCAGACCAAAAGGCTTTTTTCAACTCTGGGTAAACTGTCGCGCCAGAAGACTTCTAAAGCTTTGTTGGTCTTGGAATTTTGGCTGTTAATGATGCAGTTTTCAGCACCATCGAGTACAACACAGAGTTTTGGGAATACCTTGCTGTCGATTATGGACGTTGGCCTCTTTTGCAGTATGTCCCTCAACAGACAAACGATGTCACCAATTTCTTTACACTGGTTGTCTAATTCCCTCGCTCGGCCAATAATCCGCTCGAGCCTGTCAAAAACATCAGTGGCTCCGTTGTAAGCAGCGAGAGCCAGATCGGCCATTGTAGCTTTCGAGGTAATTTCTTCAGATCCGCGAAGTAGGTGGCGATACGTACGTGGGGGTTTGCCGGAGGAGTTGATTCTTGGAAATCAGGCTCTGGAAACTGTGCTTATCAGGTCTTAAAAATCAGGCTCTGAGCCCCATCCAGTCAGAATCGTTTCATTATGTCTTTCAAGCCATGCCACGCGTTTCACTACCATTGGACGCCACTGTCTCAGCGTCACACTACCTTGTATGTTGGTCATCTTCTATAACTGTGCTGTGGGTGGCAGTCGGAAAACTGGTGGTTTCCACCAAACCCATCATATCTTCGCACAAATCCATAACCCACCAATTCAAAATTATCAACCTACATCTTACAATGTCGCCTTATGTTGAGACTACAGCGTATATCGTCCCCTTGATGGACTTCGAAAGGAGTCTAGTCATGGAAGTCCAGGCATACGTTGGTAAAGAAAGGACCATAAACCAGAGCAGTGACTTGAGGTCTTTTGAGATCTGGAAATGGAGTCAGCTCTTGCAAGACCTCTTGAGACATTACCTTGACACCGAAGAGGATGTTTTACGTTTTGAGGCTGGCGGTAGCCGTTCTCGGGCATATGAAGCATGTTTCTTTGGGCTTGAGAATGACGGCCACTTTGCAAAGCATCGTGCTCGAATGATGCAAATTCGAAACGCGAACTTCACCTTTGTCGATGACTTGGCTGAGAAGCCGTCTTTATCAATCAGAGCAGTCCCTGATCCGAATGATCAAGAATATTGGAGGACTTTGAACAGTATCGTTGACGAATTCGGCCGGCCCTGGGATACTCCCGATGAACTTGATCGCCACCGCGGAAAGTTTGACATCTTCTCTTTGATCCGCATATATTTCCTTCATAGTCTGTCACCTCTCAGTGCTACTATGATTAGTGATAGTGTCACCAACCACGATGTCTTTCTTGAACACTATACTGTTAGTCCTAACCAGAAGACCGGCCATGGCGATAAATTCCAGGCTCAAAATGCTTTCATTCACCGAATAATCAAGAAAGCTAAAAAGCCTGCAAACATACTCTCAGATGAAGAGCTCATTGTACGTCTTCGACTATTTTTTTGTAGACCAAGGCTAATTCCCCACAGGCGCGTATCTTGAATCCCACTGAGAAGGAAGCCCAGGCGAGCAAACACATAGTACTTAGTACCCTATGCATTGCGCCTGCGAGTTAAATGTCTGATTATTATGTAGGGCGCTATGCTTTCTCTTGTTGCTGCGAACAAGCAATACCCTGATCCGAGAACGTATCTGAGCTATATCCTATGGGAGGATTTGAATCACATATCCAAGACAAGTCTGGAAGACGTCCTTCATGGACCTGACAGGTATCCAATTAATGAACAAGTCATTGTTGGATGGGTGACTTGGAAGCCACCTCGTGATGGATTCGCTTGTAATCACCACCTAAATGTTGAGGATGAGACTTTTGCATACACATTGAGGACTGGTTGGAATCTTCCTGGCCACAGTGTTAGCGGCAAAATAGTCTTCTCGTTGACTCGACTCGAACATAGCAAGCTTCTCTCAGAGCTGGATAGGTACTGGTCTACCTGGGTAAGCCAAAGTCTTGACTAGCCTGTTCTTCGTTATGATGCTAACATTTTCCCTAGAATGACTGTGCAATAACAAGAAGCCCCAACGGTGAAGTTTTCGTTCTAGAGACTGTACCCGGCTTACGATTCAGAGGTAGAGCAGCTGCATTTGATCATGCTACTGCTATAGCCCATCTTAGGAACATGATTGAATCTCATGCCTCGGAAACGCTAGATCGAACCCATGTCAAAGAACTACGTGGACTAGAGCCTGGATACAAACCACTGTTCGAAAACTCACTAAGAGTCATTCCTGCAGAGCAACTATCCCCAGTTGATTGGAACCGTCCTATCGGGTCAGGACGCAATGGTAGAGTCTATGCATCAACTTGGCAACGTCCAGGGGGGGTTCTTTCGACGTCAATGCCTTGCCAAATTGAGGTTGTTTTGAAAGAGATCACGCCAAATGACTGTCAGGTTTCTTGTTCGTTACAGAAGTTTATGAAAGAGGTCTGTTCTCACGGTAATCAGCCGCTGTTTGTACGAAAGCATTGCTGACTAGCTATTCTTAGTTGGATTCAACCTATGCAGCCCTTGGCTCACAGCCAATGTGCTGTGTCAAGTTTTTTGGGATCACCCAAATGAGCCTTCTGCTAGACGAGAACCCTAGGCTGCTCTTTGTATTTGAGCGTGCCACTCGTGGCCATGTTGAGCCATTCCTACTATGGCATTTATCGCCCCTTAGATTCTATGACTCTTGGAGAGCACTAGCAGATTGCTTCGTTTCTGTCGCAACTGGCCTAGCATTCATTCATAAACATGGAGTCGTCCACAGGTATGCTGACCAACATGAGCAGCTTTCTAAGATTCACAAGCTAATCTTTGTAAATAGGGATTTACACTTGGAAAATATCCTTGTTATGGACGAATTCTACCCAAACGATGTTGAAATTCCTCACGCGTTCAATTACCTCATCAGTGACCTCGGTGAAGGGAAACAACTGACTCAAAAACTAACAAGCCTGATGAGCAGTCAGACTGCTTTTGCTAGCTACGGTGCCATTGACTTTCGAGCACCTGAACAATTACAGGGCCTACCCAACAAAGACGCCTTCGCTGCTGAAGTCTTTACTTTCGGCGTTGTGGCATGCAAACTTCTGAACTGTAGATCCCTCGTTAGTTCAGTCGAAATACCAAGCCATATCAGAGCTAGTGCATCAGAAGATATCGTTGAACTTAATCATAAAAAAACTGGGAAGAAGGAGCTTCAAGACGGGCATATCGTTCCGCGAACCATACGTAGCGTCATATCACGTTGCCTGTCGCACAGAGGTTTTGACCGTCCCGATATGAGCCATATTTTGAATGAGTTGGAAGACATTACGTCAACTTTCACGGAAGACAACATGGAACGACAAGCAGGGCGAACTGTGGACTGGTGTTATTGGGATTGGGAGGCAACCTTCCGTGCTGCACTGAGTGACGGCGATTCTGACTCGAACTCAGATTCTTCCGAAAGTTCTGGATCTTCCGACTAAAGAACAAAGTGTGGAAGGGTCATGCTAGGTCCCGTTCACTAAGTAGCTTTAATATTAGCCATTAATTCTTTATTAAGTAATTATAATTTTACTTTAAATCGCATATATGTAAATGGCTTAACTGTAATGCTTTACAGCAGCTTCATCTCGCCATGTCTAACCGTCCATAAACTGATACGCAATCAACATTATTATTGGTCCAAAGCTCGGAACAGCCCCACTGCGTGATCGTCATTACAGGATGCCGATCCACGCGTTCTGTGTCACTGGAACGAACTGGAGTCCTTTATCAATGCCACGGCAAATTATCTTCTCACCAAAGCCAACGAGTTGCCCGCTCGACTCGATACTTACCTTTATCATACACAGTCCTTCCTTCGGTACAGCCCCACATATGCCTCTATCAACCACTCGCCACCATGTCAAGACGGGCTGCCGAACCTGCAAGTGCGTTACCCTGCCTCCGCAGGTAAACTTGGTACTAACCACTCATAAAGAGCCCGAAAGATCAAATGCGACGAAGCCAAACCCTCCTGTAAGCGCTGTGTATCGTCGCGCCGCGTCTGTGGCGGTTATCAAGGCACAGCTAGCCTGACATGCTACCGCCCAAACCAACTATCCGCACGCGATCAGTAAGAAGGTAGAGCGTTCCAGTTCTTTACAGAAATGGTTGGGCCGGTCCTCTCGGGTCCTACCGACTCTTACTTCTGGACGCATCTGGTCATGCAGTTCAGCCACTTTGAGCCTACCATGCGCCACGCTGTTCTGTCGATTAGCTCGCTCTATGAAGAATTTGCTAGAGGCTCTCGTATCACTCGGCAGGTCTGTGGTAGCACCTTTGCTGTTGATCACTACAATGCGGCTATAAAGCATGTCAAGTCTGCTAGTGATGAGCAAATGATACTAGTTCTCTGCGTACTCTTTATTTGTATTGAGTATCTACAAGGAGACTTTGACGCCGCTCTGCAGCACTGTCGTCATGGCATCATGATTCTTAACAACTCTTCGCGTCCGGAATGGATGTGTCAGTATCTTGTTCCCATATTCAGACGTTTGAGCATAACGCCATTTTTCTTTGGCGGTGGCGAACCACCGACACGTCTTCCGCAGCTCATTGGATTCGAGACACCAATGCCTTCGGAGTTTAGTGATGCTCGAGAAGCGCAGACAGTGATTGACGATGTGATGATTCGGATAATGGGGTGCCTGTACGATGGCAATGATGATAGGGTTGTGCTGGCTTCATTGCTGGAAGACTGGGATTCCAAGATGAATCATCTTGAGCGTGCACTTCCCCCAACTGCAACAGCGGATAAATACGCCATATATGGAATGAGATTCAAGCACAAAATGGCCAGAATTTACATCCAACAGCAAAAGTCACATACAGAAATGTGGTGGGATCAGCATCTCGATATTTTTCGCGATGCTGTAAAATTGGCAGAAGAAGCTTCCCTCCTATCAACAGCACCAGACCACCAACGCATACCACAATCAAGTTTCAGCTTCGAAATGAGTTGGTTACCAATGCTGTTCTTCATCGTCCTCAAGTGTCGAGATTTAAAAATTCGTCACATGGCATTATCCTGGATGGCGCAGCTTGGACCGGCCAAAGAGGGTCTGTTTGACGTGGGGACTCTGTATAGAGTTGGAAGACGTCTTATTGAGCTGGAACATTATATAGCACTTGACGATAATGCCGTTGGACTTGAAAGTGAGGCTGTACCGCCGGAGGAGAAACGATACTTCGCTATTCCGATAAACCACGAACTGGAAGTCATCCCCGAGAAGGACGGCACACTCAGTTACAGACGACGGGTTAAGTTCCTCAGAAAAGACACGGAGGATAACGTAATCGCATGAGAGGAATATATCTATGATGGTAAGCCTCGTGGATGCAGCGTTAAGATTCCGCCGATGAGGTGTGCATATCGCCTGTAGGATGATATATCTTGAGAGTGCAATGAGCCAGATTGTTCATTTTGAACTGCATTACGTGTTCCTTGCCATATGTGTCGGTCGTGATTCGTTTAAAGCTAACTTCAATCCGCTGGACGGTTTATGATAGGCCTGTATATTCCCGGACGCTCGACTGAGGGAATGTCCCGAGAGTCTTCTAAGCTCAAGTATAAGTTGTATGATATTTCAACAATAGAGTCTCGATATCGACCAATAAATTCGATTGAGATTTGGACCTTTCTGTCAACAACTATCTGACTTGTCAACACTCTCAATTTCCATGTCTTCTGCCGTTTTGTTCCTCAGTTCTCTCAGCCATCTACTCTTGCTCAGATTGGGACCATCACCGCACAAGATGTCGCTGTGGTGCAAGAATTCTTGAATGGACTTCATGATTCCAAGGGACGACGTGCTTACCTTAGCTATGGAACTGGATCTGAATTTACCGATCTCGGCACCGCCTACGATGAAGAGACGGAAAGCTAAGAGTTGAGCATCAGCGGCCTCGGCGGTGAATGGGTCGAACGCTACCTGCTGCTTCAGAACTCAAGCGCCCATCCCAGCCTGGATAACGTAACCTATGACAAACTCAAGGAGTGAATGATGCATAACCTGAACAAGTATGCAGACTCTTTCCAGACGACGTACCCAGATCTCAGCGCCTTCAAAGCTGCGGGCGGCAAGGTCATCCACGTCTACGGCGAGTCAGACGGCTCTATCCCGGCTGGCTTATCAGTACACTGCTACGACTCTGTGCGCAGCATCATGTTTCCCGATAAGAGCTACAACAAATAAGAGCATGACTGCTCTAGATGAATTTTACAGACAGTTCCTCGTCCCTGGCGGAGCTCACTGTGGAAGTAACTCTGGTGGCTGGCCCCAAACCACGTTGCAAACTGCTATTGAATGTGTTGAGGAGGATGTTGTTCCTGAGACTCTGAAAGGTACTGATGGCATTGTTACTATCTGCCGCTGGCCTCTTCGTCCTCCCTGGTCCAGAAAGAATTTTTCATGCTTTTGATCTGACCTTGCTATTCCTGACTAAGCCTGATCGACACGCTTTCACCGCCTTAAGAAAAGCTGAGACCCCGTTCTGATCCTGTCGTACAAAACCACCATGCCAAATAGGATTAAAAACGTAAGGACCCTACATTAGGGCCTAAGGCAATAGGGCTTATATACTGTTCAATAGACCCTAACACAACAATAGTTCATCCTCCATCATTAATTATGATTCCCCACACAGAGCCACGACCTGCGGCTTCGATCAACACTACACCCTCAGAACTTCTCCATCGTATATTTGATTTCCTGCTACACGCCAGGGACCCAAATAAACCAACGGCTGCTCGCGTTGATGACATCCGCTCCCTCCGCTTGACATGCCGACGTTTCTGCCAATGGGCCTCGCCGCTGCTCATCCCCGAAATAAGTGTCTTTATGACCGAGACGTCTCTGGAGCGCTTGAAGAATGTTTCTAGTCACCAATTGATCAGATCTGGGGTGCGCAGCGTTCACGTCAAGCTCCCATACTACGAACAACGCATGGCAGCCGACCTGAGCCACTTCGCCTATTCTCACATCGCAGGTATGAGTCAGCATCTTGACCACCTGAAAGATGTAATCCCGGGTGAACTGCACGAGAGGATATCCTACAATGTGCCCGATTGGATCAATTACGAAGTGCTTGAATTGGGCAAGGATATGATTTCTGCTTGGAACTCAATTTATACCGCAGATCCAGAAGACCCGCAGCGGGACTCGGATGAACACATCGAGTATCGGAAAATCCTAAGAGATGCCCATCGTGAATATCAGCTTTTGTTTGAAGCGCAACAGCAAATGCGAGAGAACGGGACCTTCCTCTCCACCATTGCTTCCGCCATGGCAAGAATGCCCCACGTCGATAGGTTAGAAATCACTGATGGTGAAGATGCTGTTTTCAAGAGAGATGCCTACCTTGTCGACCGAGACTACCGCATATCTGTACGAGCAGTCATGTTGAGACCTCATACCTGGTCAGACGCTTCAAATCTCTACCCCGACCCTGATTTCGAACCACCAATCGAGTTCTTACACAAGCTTCCAGTTGAGATACACAGAGCAGGAGCAACCTTGCGAGAGATGAAACTCCAGTGCTCTGCGCCCTGTAGCTACGCCAATCTCTCCATGTCTCCCTCTGAGCGAGTTTCACTCATCGAATCGCTCCAGAACTTGCAAACGCTCACTCTTGACGCAGTGAAAGGTTCCATGACGGGATGGTTTTTCGACCATCAAGAGGATGCGATGGATATAGTTTCAGACTTCCTCTCAGCACTTCTCCAGCCTTCTGGTCTCGAGAATCTCACCATTAACTTTTTTAATTTACGCAGTTTGAATGATCTCCTCGCCGGAGCACATAACAAGCGTTTAAAGCGGCTTCATTTGGTCGGGGCTAGGTTAAAAGCTGGCAAACTCGGACAATACCTGGCCCGTGTTGAAGGTCCATGTGATGTTGTCTTGGAACATGTGGAAATACTTGGTGGGAGATGGGCAGACGAAGCTGATGAACTGCGGGGGCTGTCAAGAGCCTTGACTACAGTTGTTCAGCCCTTTGGCGATGAGTTTCGACGCGGGCGGTCTACAAACGTGTGCAATGCTGAGGAGGAGAGGATGCTTAACAATTACCTCCAGAGAGCAAGTTCTGTCAATCCTCTCAGAAATAGGAACATCTAGTACGGCACTGTATCTAGATTTATGAACCGACTATGGCATTTTATGACACTGCGACTCGACAAGGACTGTTTGGGAGTGCATGCCCCGTACCGAAACAGGGCGGAATGGGGATCCGAGGCGCGGAACCATAATCTAACGCTACTCTGCCGGAGCCGAGATAAGCGCTGGCCTCGTGTCAGCCCAAGGCTTTTCAGCTGCTCAGATTACCCCAATACGTACATGGAAATGCCTCCTGCATCGTTAGGCATTACATCTTGCAAAGTCTGAGGCCGCCCATTACGGTTTCTGGTAGACTGTCGTGTAGTTTGATAGCCCCCTCATTTATTCCTCGATTATCTGTACGTCGCCAACGTGCAGCGACAACATAAGAAGAGACAACCCCATTATCCCCATCACTCAATTGCATACCACGCTGAGGCGACAACTCTTCCCCACCCGATTCAGACTGAAAAGCACCATATAGCGGCACCATGGACTTTTTGAATCGCTTACTCGGTAGAAACACCGATACTAAGTACAAGTATCGCGGCGCCAAACTCCCGAAAGAACCTCTGACGCCACGCGAAATTGAGGAGATGCACAGGAAGCTGCATCCCGATACGCACAGAGATAACGCGTGGGAGCCAGAGCCCAATTTTGACACTCGCGACTGGAGTGTGCCCTATACTCAATCGCTGGAAGAAAAGTTCTCTGCTGTCGGCTCGCTACAAGATGCGCAATCGGAATCATTGCTGTTTAGCAAATTGCCACTAGAGGTGCGCATGCAGATCTGGCGCCTTGTCATGGGGAATCATAAGGTGCACTTGACCGTGCATCGTGGCGGACTCAAACAGTCTGCGTTTGAGTCAGAGAATTATCAGTGGTTACCGCAGAGAAGACTCTTGAAAGTCCCTCTGATTTGTCGCGCAGCGTATGTACCCTCCCAATTTCATCATGAAGCAATACTGACCTTATTTCTTAGATATATGGAGTCCATCTCGTACCTCTACTCTGACAACACCTTCTGCTTTGGCTTCGGCCAAGCGAGCTCAAAGTCAGCGCTCACATCGCTGGACACTATGCTTCCATGCAACACATCGAAGTCGGATGGCATCTATATGCCGGTGTGAGTCAGTACTACGACAGCCACCCTCAAGCCTGGGATATTACACTGGATGTTCCAGCGCCAGAGACTGAAACGCTATGGAATAATGTCTGCGCCGAGCTCGTGAAACTATCGCATCTGCGGACGCTGCGGATCGTGGTTTGGCTTTCTGGTGATGGAAGAGCACAGTTCGTCGGGATGGAGAGAGACATGCTTGCACCGCTGGTTGCGATGGGGCATTTGGAGCGGTTTGTTGTTCATTTGCCCTGGAAGCAAGACGATACTGAGATGTGGAAGGGTGCGCCGTTTTTGGTTTCTAGGCGATTCAGGGTCAAGGAGATGTATGGTGTGAGCATTCCATTGCTTGATGATGACTTTTACTGGTCAGGCTCAGCTGCTCAACATAGGATCTATAGGTGAGCAGTTGGTAGGAAGCTAGAGAATAACTTATCGCAGGCAGTCTTGTGGCGGTAGAAACCAAGAACCTAGGCACCTTCTCTTTTCCCCTGAGCTTCCATCTCATGCACATCTTTGCAGAACTGACAGTAGAACTGCCACCTCTTCGCACCGTAAACCCACCCAAGCCCATCTACATACAGCGGATAGAGACCATCGTGAGACTGTGGCCGAATATCTGAACACATACAGCAAACCCCGTACCCACCACAAAACCCTTTTCTCCAGTGTTCACAAAGCACAATCGCTGATCGAAGGATATCGTACTCTTTCTCTGCTTTCTGGCACCCCTCACAGTAGTTTGCCCATCTTGGTGCATCGCGCTCCCAGCCTGTGCCGTCAATGTACCGGGGGTAGCGACCGTCTGGGCGCAGAACTCTTGAGTCCGCGCAGGTGCAGCACTGCCTTGGTGTTCGGTATCTGGTACAGTAGCGCTTTTTATAGTGGTCGCAGGGGCGATGATAGGAGTAGAATGTGACTTTTTGTACCTTGGGAGGTTTGTCGTCGGTTTGTTTGTGAAGACGATAGGGCATGCTGCAGCGTCGTCAGATTTTATTGAGATGGCGCTTTTTGACGTGGGAGAGCAGGATGGGTGCTGTGCTTTAGGACGGCTGCGAAAAGTTATCGTCTGAAATGTCAAGCATTTTGTTCCAAAATTGATCACTGTAGAAGAGGCTGGTGTCGTTTTAAACAGGTTCGAGAGATCGTGGTGACTCATGGGGGAAAGCGTCTGACTAGGATTGACTGCCGTATCCTCACCAGTGGCTATGCTGAGATGCTTGACTAGCGGGCAGCCAGAACATTGCGATAGGTAGGACGGGCAGTGGAGTCAACCGTATCTTATATTTGGTGACTCCCTCTCTCCCTCTTCCAGCAATTCTTCTTTCACACAACATATATTCATGGAAATACCTAACACAACTTCCTGTGATCAGACTACATTTAGGTCAACCCATTAGCAATAATTACTTGCGCATCCGCGAACGAGTAGCTCATGAACCGCAAAAAGCTATTGAAAATCCTTATAGTCAAACGTTCTTAGACAAGAGAGAATTGAATCAGTATCTCTCACGCTCTAGTATCGTATAAGCGTGTGATCATAGCGACAGACAAAGTGGCAGATGCATGGGATTGTTGCCGGTACGTAGCAGACAAAATAAGTTAGCTTACAGGGCTAGATCGGGAAATTTAGTGCTTTCAGGCGATCGATTTAGATCCGCCACAACCAATAGAAGCGCTATATTTAGTTCCATGAATTAAATTACAATCGATAGTTCGCAATAGCTTCCAAAGCTAAGGCTTGGCAGCCCCCTACTTTTATAGCTATCGACTTTCCAGAATCCGCCTTATGAAAACTCGGGTATTGTCTCTTCTCTTATTCACCATTTAGACCACCATGTACTTTTCGAAGGTATCGACAGCCCTTCTTGGCTTGGCCATTGGTATCCAAGATGCAGCTGCTGGTCCTTGCAAGCCTGAGTCCAGCCAAACTCTAACCGAAAGCTCTTGGGGGGCGACAAGCTCTGTGTTTGATGCTGCCTCGACGACTACTTCGATTGTGTCCTCAACCGAGACTACGCAGACGCGTCCCGATAATGAGATTTCTTCAACGGTCTCCCTTGACTCATCTTCAGCCGAAGGCACTTCCCCCACGACGTCCAACACCGAAAGTGTCTCGACAGCATTAGAGTTCTCCGAAACCAGCGCGAGGCTGTCATCAACGAACAAGGAAACATCAGACTCTTCAATAACGATAGAAGTCTCAGAGTCCAGCAAAATCCTCCCATCATCAACTGAGGAAACAGCAAGCTCCTTAACAACAACAGAAGCTTCAGAATCCACCACGGACTTCTCGTCAACGATTGAAGAGGCGACCGAAGTAACGACCGAAGCAACTACTGAAGAAACAACAAGCTTCGCCACACCAATAGAAGTCTCAGAGCCAACCACTATCCTTCCATCCACAACCGAAGAAACACCAAGCACCTCCACAGCACCAATCAACGAACAACCGCAAATCTTCACCGGCGGCTCCGCAACATGGGTTTACCAAGACGGCATCATGGGTGACTGCGGATCAGTCAGCCACGACACCGACTTCGTCGTTGCCCTAGATTACCGAAGGTATGATCGGAGCAAGTGCGGTAAAAAGATTCGCGTCACAGCGACTTCTGGCCGGCGCATCGGGTTATCTATCGACGTCACCATTGTCGACGTTTGTTATGCCTGTTCAAACGAAAACTCGATGGATCTGTCTACGGCTGCGTTCAACGCTTTTGCCCCGCTGGACGATGCGGTGGTAAATGTAAAATGGCAGTATTTGCCGTGATCTGCCGTGATCTAGGAAATGAAGCGAAATAGAAGAAGTAGAGGAAGAATGAGGCCAGAATATCAAGGGAAATAGACTAATGCGTAATACAAAATCGTCAGTGGAAGTATTAAGCACTGACACAGATACATTCTTTGAGCAGTTGCAGGCAATATGCACAAATTAACGACATCTGCAACTCGATAAAAAGCCACAGGAATTTTACTCTTTAGCCAACATCTCCAGCATTAGATACATGACTCAAAGAGCTATAAATAACACTCATTGCCATTCTATTTATTGGCTAGCTTCCTACTTTGAACCCAGAGCGACCTTCGTCGTTGACGGATCAGAGTGCTTTAAAACTAGCTAGCTCAATAATTCTGTAAGCCATCCATCTGATCAGCATCTCCAGTCATGGCTTTCATGCCTTGCGTTGCCAGGCTGCTAGACGCCACGCTAGCAATACCCTTCTCGGCAGCCTGCATTGCAACCATACCAGCATGAAATCCGACAGCCTCTTCAACAGACGTCTGAGGAACCGATATGGCGACCCTCGCAAGATCCTGAGCTGCTGAAACCCCATTGTCCAGGCTCATTATGGCGTGGCCCATCTCGTGGAGTTGTTGTGCAGCCCCATGCGCTGCACCGCTGATGGAATCACCAGGATTCATAGAGAATGCATGCGCGACAGAGTCACCCGGAAACAGGCCTGGAGCGAAGGTGTGGGTGACATGAATAGCGGCCTCATCAAACCCATGACCAACGCCGAAGCCCACAGCGCATGCTCCCAAGGGGATCAAGACATCTCGTTTCTGTAATTTATGCAGAGGAACATCTCGTTTCTTGAGCTCTGCACGGATGAGCTTCAGCTTCGACTCTGCTACGTGCAGACGACGGAATCCAATCGCACTGAGCAAGAAGGTGCCTCCAGAGGTTGCTAGGGCGGTCAAGGTCCCGATTTGGGCACTGCAGAATGCAGCTGTAATCTGACGGGTTTTGACGATTTCCTGCTTACGGAGACGGTCTAGGTCGTAGTGGGATATGCGATGTGCATATTCGGTCTTGTCAAAGTCAAAGAAATCCCCGATAGTCATGTTTTCTGAAAGAGAAAGCGTGTATGATTGAGGTATGAGACAAGATCATGGAGCAGATTGATGGTTGGCAGTGGATAAGAGGATGCTAGTGGAATTGGGGCCAAGAGTAGTGGTTCTGGATACTCAAATAGCTCTCTTAATAAAGGATATGGTACTGGCTAGGACACAGGTACAGCGTGCATGCATAGCCGCAGGGAATCGATGAGATCGCGGACAGCCAGGATCTGTGTGACTTGACAGGACTTAATTACAATAATAGTAACCTATCTGACGCGGCTATGCAGCTGCATAACCTTTCTATCTTCCTCTTTCTGAAACATGTGCTACCAGGCTGTGTCTATCACAAATCTGGAGAATTGTCCAGATATGTTGCATCACATGGCCTTGAGGGTCTTTGTACAACACCCCGACTTGACGGAGCACTGTGCTGATGGATGGACCTGTGCTACGATCGCGCTGGGCTCCTTGGGGTATTCCTGGGGGTTTTCTGTCGGCTGGCACTGTAGACTGGAACACTTGGCTATGTTAGGTTTCACAGCATCTTCAATTCGCAACGTCTGCCACAAATAGTATCCATAGCCTAGTTGCACAAACAACGCGCGTTTTTCTTAAAACTGTATGACCTTGATCTGTTTCACTAAGGAATATCTTAGGCTAGTCCCATGACCCATCAACTTAGTGATGTACAAGACTCCTGGATAACTGTTACGCAACAACTAAAATAAGCATTTAGAATTGTCTAGCCCATGATTGAGTTCTTATAGCCCACATAAGCAGCGCGCTCTTGTAGTGCCCCAAAGCTTTGTGCAACGCTCCGCAAAGCGCCTCGTTGAAAGCCTTGGCCACAACAACACAGTATGTCTCCTACTCATTATGCAGTTCCAACCTTATGCCAGCAGCTGCAATGGACCAATCAGGCCACCTAGTGGCAAACCTAGCAACGGCATTCGCGTCAGTCAATTATGCTCAGAGATAGCCTGAAGAAACAGCGAAGGAGTAGAAATGTAGAAGTCTTAAAGGCCTTCCTCCAAGAAGGTGTAAGTTTATTATAGCATCGGACCATGAGATACAGTCAGCAAAGACGCGGGAATAGTGGCCCGGAACTCGGCAAAGCGTCATAATCAAGACGTCACTAATCCACTTTGACCCAGAGGGCCCAATGCGCACTTGCTATTGTTCGCAGAACATAGATCTTTCATAATCTCTTAAAAACTAACTCTCAATTTGCGTAACATCAACATGACAGATACACTCAAGCCATATTGCATCTCTCAGCTCGAAGGCGGACATCGTCCCGGCTCCGATGCCATCTTCAACTCTCACAGCAAAGATGACATCCTCTCCACCCTCAAAGAATGGAATTCTCGGCGCATTCTTCTAGTCCATAGCAAAGCTCTCGCCAAAAACACACCGGTGATTACTGATCTCAAAGAAGCTCTTGGGGACTGCCTCACCAACGTCAAAGAAGGCGTCGGCTCTCACTCCCCATACGGAGATGTCATCGACATTGCCCATCGCATCACAGAGCACAAGATAGACTGTGTCATCAGCGTCGGCAGCGGCTCTTACTCCGACGCCTGTAAAGTCGCGCGTCTAATGTCCGCCACTCTTCCCAAAGGATTTAGCGAGAAAGACATGGAAGATCTACTGGATCAAGAGAAAGGCGTTGCGCCGCAGGATAAAATGAAGAAGGCGGAGGGCGTGAAGCTCATTCTTGTTCCAACGAGCTTATCAGCGGGAGAATGGAACCATACCGCGAGCTGTACCAACAGCGCTGGGAAAAAGCAGCATTTCTCGCTTCAGGATGGCGGTGCGCCGGATTTAATCCTCATGGATCCATGGGTTGCGAGAACGTCGCCCGACAAATTGTGGTTAAGCTCTGGAATACGTGCTGTTGACCACTGCGTTGAGACGCTATGCAACCCCGAATGCAAAAAGCATCCTGATGTGCAAGAATGGTGCGAAAAGGCACTGCGAGACTTGGCCAAAGGGTTGGTTGAGTATAAAGAGGGACTGGGCAGGGGAAAAGAAGGTGAAGAAGAACTTGTGCATGGCGTGAGCAAGTGTCAAGCCGGAAGTCGCATGGCGCTCATGGGCTTTATTATTTACAGAGTGAACATGGGCACCAGTCATGCAATTGGGCATCAACTGGGTAGTGTTGGGAAGGTCATGCATGGTATTACGAGCTGTATTATGCTTCCGCCTGTGTTGCGATACACCAAGGCGCGAAACCCTGAGGCGCAGAGCAAGATCGTGAGGATCTTTAATGAGACGTTGGGATGGGAAGAGACTGAGGCGGGGGATTGCGTTGCACGGCTTGTCAAGGTTACAGGGCTGCCGAGTACGTTGTGGGAGGTTGGCGTTACAAGCGATGAGCAGATTGAGCAGATCATCGACAAGACCATGACGGATGTCATGTTCTCGTTTGGCAAGGTCTTGACTAGGGAGGAAGTATCTGAGATTGTATACTCAACTAAATAAACCTTACGCCGATGCCATGAACAAAATGAAGACAAGAGACTACAGTACAAAAGGGTATCCTGACAATCTAGGGGTATCACTAAATGAAAACTACTATCTTATCCTTCCATCCCGATCCAAAGGCCACAGCACCAAAAGCTTCCGCATCCAGTCCCAATACTCCGTCTTAGCCCAATTCTGCAGAACCTGCAACACATACACGATCTTATAAACGCCCATCGAACTCTCCGTATCGCCGATCGCATAGAACCTCGGATTATCTTCGCCGTATTTCGAAATGCTGAGGAACCAGTTCTGCTTGTGGATGATGATGCCCGGGAGGAACTCGGGAACGTCATACGGATTTTCAATCATGGAACTGAACGCTTGATTCGGCCATTCCATATCAATCTTCTCTCTCATCCGCATCATGCGCTTGAGCCAACCCCAATGCGCGGCGAATGCTGTTCGGACCCGCTGGAGTTCGCGGTCTGTGTTCTGCGAGAGGGTATGGACGTGGAACGCTATTGGTCGCTGGGATCGGAGGGATTTGAGGTCGATGTGGTTGAAGGTGTTTCTGACGAGTCTCTTTTGCATATCGTCGATGCAATCGGGCAACATGCCGACGAGCGGTGTTTCTACGTAGACGCAGAAATCGGGAGGTGGCGGGTTGTCGGGGTTGGTATGGTACTCTGGAATAATGATACCATTGTCGCTAGATATCCCAAGATCAGGAACGAACAAGCAATTGAGGGGACTGGAGATTGTACTCACCTGCATCGGAAATCGAGGAATAGTGGCCAAGGTTCATCCCTGTACGAAAGCTCGAGAACCTTGTGAACAACCTCCTACATCATTATTCCAGCTCGAGATTCAAGTCAAAGAGGACTTTGACGCGTCCTGATTGGGCTGTTACTCGTGTTTTCCTCTTTCACTTGAAAGGGGCTACTTGGCGACATTGCCGCGACTCCACTTTCAACGATTGCAGGGGCGCTTAATCATTTCATTGGCGCTCTGGTTCTAACCCTGGACGGTTCTCGTAGAGTTTGGGACGGTAGCTCAAAGCCTTGCAACATATACAATATAATTAAAGTTTGATTACGGGATTCCACGCGAACAGCGCGTCTTTGACGCGCGCTTTTAGGACAGGTCCTAACTTTGTAGAGAGAACAGCCCTACTCAAGCATTATTATCAGAAACGCACTGCGTTTCCTGTTTTTGACCAATCATCGTCTAAAGTTTCCGACCCATATTTCTTTTAATGGAAACGCAGTGCGTTTCCTATGCCGCACTAATGGAAATTAAAAACCTAAAACATGAAACGCGATGCGTTTTCGTCGGCTAACCCTTATTAAGTTTAATAACTTGATCACTCTAGACCTAAACAACAGCATTTTACTATTATTTACTAAACCTGGTATATCTATCGTCTTTATATAACATCTACTTAATCTCCTCTACTTTATCCTATCTTATGTACTTTTCTATGCTTAGTCATAATAGACCTCTTCCCTGTTTATGAGCAAAGTACCTATTCTACTTTATCCCCAGTAAAGGTGTAAAAGCTTAAGACGCTCGGCCTTTATTATAATTCGCCAGAGGAAGCTATTATATATACTAAATGCGGTTTTGCTTTAAGTCCTAAACATGCATCGGAGCATCCCGGCAAAAAGCATGGCATTACTAGATCTGCTTGGTATAGCCTTAAGCCCCTCCTATCCTTATTAAACCTCCTAGATCTAGATACCTTGGTCCCTAGGCTAAATAGATTATAATATTATCTATACCTTATAATATAATAAGGCTATTTATATAAGTACTATAGTCTTTATTTTACTAGCTAGAAGGTTCTAGAGGATTACTTAAGGGCTAAATATTATAATAAGTTAAAGCTTATAGCTAGAAAGAATAGCTAATAGTACTAGCTATAAGATTATATCTAGTAAGAAGTTTTATTCTAGAGCTAGATAGTAAATAATACTTAAAGGTTATCGCTTATTAGTATTAATAAAGATTTTAATAGTAGGTCTATACCTAGTAGTATTCTTCTATAAGCTAATCCTGATTTTATTAAGCTTTTTACTTAGAAGCTATTTATTAAGGAGTATGCCTATTTAGGAAATTAGTAAAATAATTATTAAAGATATTATAATAAAGAGATATTAGCTTCTTCTGCCTTATAAACTAATTAATTATAGTATATAGGCTAGGAAATAATATTTAGAAATATATATTATAATATTCTAGTTTACCTTATAGTATTACCTTATTATATAATTAATTAACCTTTACCTCTTAGTATAGTAAAAAGAAAGGCAATATTTAATTTAATATATAATAAGTATAAGCTAGTATTTATAATAATTATATTAAATTATCTCCTAAATTATTATAATAAGATAATTTAAAAGATAAATATTTACTTAAGAAGATAGCTTTATAATAAGTTTTTAGATTACCTTTATAAAATGCTTTTTAAGTTAATTATAAAATTATCTTTTAAGAAGATTTATTAAAAAAGCTTAAGTGCTTTATCTACTTTTAGCTTTAATTATTTTAATTATTATTAATAATTTTATGAAAGGTTATAAGATATTAATTAAAAAAGTATTAGTTTAAAGCTTTATAAGAGCTTTAAAGAGATAATATATAATAGTTTATAAAATATATTAACTTAAATCTTACTATTAATTAGGATAAAGGGGATTATAAGGATAAAGAGGGATATAAGAATAAAGATAAAAATAAGATCTAAGATAATAATTATAATAATAATAATAAAAATAAAGGTAAAGATAATAAAAAATATAATAAAATAAAAAATAAAAGTTAAAAGATAGTAGCTATAAATATAGGTAAACTATTTAATAATAAGTTAACTTTTACTTAGTTTTTAAATAGTAAAGAGGACTGCTTATAAGACCTTATAATTAATGCTTTATTATACTTTTATTATTTTATTATTAATAAAGATTTTAAAGGTAGTATTATAAGCTTAATAATACTAATATACTTTAGTATTACATAAGGGCTCTTAACCTTATATAAAAAGAAATACCTTAAGCCTTATTAATTTATCCTTATCTTAGTAAAGCTTATATATTATTCTTAATTAGTATTTCTTAAGTTAATACTTTTATATTTCTTATATTATTATAAAGAAGTTATATATCTATTATATTATAGGCTATTATAAATACTTAATATAGCCTACTATAAGTATATATATAATAATATATTAACACTTATAGGCAAGTTCTTAAGTCTCTTATTATATAATAATACTTTTTAATAGTCTTAAGGATTATCTTTTTAATTTTATTAAAGTAATAATAATAAGATCCTATCCTAAGATAGTAATTAATAACTTGTAATAATAGACTTTTATAGCCTAGCTAGTAAAGTATTATACTTAATTACAATATCCTCTTCCTATTTAATATATAATTAAAAGCCTACTTATCTTAATTTATTATTAATTTAAAATAATCTATTAATAATAATATTAGACTATTTTTTTATATCTAATCCTATTAATTAGCTAAAGAATACCTATCTTAAGTTATTACTAAGAGTATATATATCCCTAATTAATAGCCTACTTTATTTATAAGAAAAAAATAAAAATACTTAAGATATTAAAGCTACTTATTTATACTTAGAAGTCTATAATAATTATTTAAAAGGACTTATAATACTTCTTAATATTAATAGTAGCTAGTTTATATAAATTTTAAAGTTATTAATTTTAAAGTATTTTAATACTACTTTAATAAAGTAAGATGTTAGCTTATAAGATAAAAAGATATATTTTATTATTAGGTATTATAAGGCTTAATTAGTAACTAATAATAAGTTTTATATTATATACTTCTTCTTTATACCTATCTCCTGGCTTATATTTTAATATCTTATTTATATATAGCTAGTTATTATAATAATCTTACTTAAATATTTTAATATTAAGTATATTAATATATTTCTTTTTTAATTACTTTCTTAAGTAAGGCTAAAATTAATAATACCTTAAACTATCTTAATATTTATTAAGGACCTTTAGTAATAACTATTATGAATAAAAAATAGCCAAGACAGTTTAACAGTGCTTTTCAACAGTACCGACAAAAGAACAGACACCGCCCTAACCGGTGACTTTGACTGCCACCAGAGACCTCTCGGCGGCCGTGTGTTTAAGATGACTCAAGATGCTGCCACCAAGCACGGCTAGAGAGCTCTTCGTCGCGACCGGAATGCCAGCCATGGACAACGCTTCCGTCGTGTGGTCGCACGCATGTGATGAAAGAGAACTGACCTAGCTCAACAGGACTCAGAAGATGGGGGTACAAGCCACCACGGGAGCCTTTTGAATGGCATCGATGGCAGTGGCCGAAGCAGAGACCAACATCCAGACAGTATGCGAGCAGCACGCTCAGGCTGGCGTAGGCGCTTAACCTATCCCTTTGAGCGGTACAGCCTTTCAGCGGGGTCACGACAGGGGTGTAGGACCAATCAAAATGAATAAAACTAACGGTACCTCTTCCCACATACTAATTTGTATGATGGTAAAAGTCCCAGCAGTTTTGATTGTTACAAAGAGCTACCTCACAAACTCGACAGCCGTACCAGGTCTGCCTACCTGAGCCTCCTCGATGCCGACTTTGTGTATTAGCTGTTATCAGCTGTGAGAGAGTATTTTCAACCTTCCTTTTTTTAAAAGGTCGGGGCTGCCCCTGCCTGAAGCCTTTGCAAGCAAGGCTATCTGAGAATATCCCCCTGTTGACATGATTGATATCTCTTTGCAGGTGATTTTACCGTGACTGGGTATCGTTCATGTCCTCCTCTTTCCCTGCCCGAGATCTCTTCCTTGCGCCGCTTTCTTGGGCATATTTGATGAATAGGGCGTCAGAAATGCACCTCTTCCAGCTCTCCAGGGTCTTGTAAGGCGGCCACCGCGGCTGTGAGGTCTTGAGCTGCAAAATGAAGCTATTCGCAAGTGCTACATCAAGAAGGAAGGACCAAAGGAGAGCCTGCCACGGGCCACGGCGAAATCGGTGCTCATAGCTCGTATAGGACCTTATCTGACCTCCTCGGTCTACATGATTCATTTCATCATTATAAGAAGCAGATACAGTCGGTATAGGAATAACCTTTATTACGGCATCACCAAAGGTCTCCTGTATCGGCTTGGATTGTGCCCCTTTGTCGGCAGGCTTCTTCCTTCTCTTTGGGGTGCGTTGGTCATCGGCACCGCTGTATACGGTAGAGAGAAATAACACGAGGCTATTATCCTTCCAAGCGATTTGAGCGACCTAGGAAGGACGAATTAGTAAGGGAAATGCATATAAACAAGTCCCTCGGGCGTACGAGGTCATCTATTGTAGGGATCGACTTTACTTCATTATACTTAAAGCCTGAGGGCAGCTCAAAAGCGGTTGTGGTAGGATGTCACACACATGAAGGTTACGGGGCTGTACATTTTAAAGCCTCAGGAGCTTGACCCGGTTGTCCCTCACGAGGCCCCTAAAAGTGAAGAGCTGCCACGCCGGAACGGCCCGTGTCAAAGCCATCGCTGCCAACTTCCAACAATTTTCCAATTTCACCTTTTTAACTTTTCTCGTCACTCTCTTGCGTACACTTGGGCAGACTAACTCATCATATCGTTCTTCAAAAAGATTACCAAGGAGCTCGAGAATCTCGGCATCGGCGACAAGAAGGAGGAATCCGCCGGTCCCTCTCATACCGCTGAGTCCAGCGAGGGTAAGTTAAGCCACGCGGGATTCGAACTACCGCATCTTAAACTTGACCCGAGTTGGGCCCTGGTGTCGACTGACACTCTGACAGGCCACCGCCAATATGACTATCAGAGCCGGGGCCAAGGAGGACCCCCCCTGCTCAGTAATATGCAGCTCCTCCCCAGCCCCAATACCAGCCGCCGTCTGACAAGCCGCCTCTGCCTGAGGGCTGGACTGTCCAGTTCGACCAGCAATACCAGCGTTGGTTCTACAGAGAGCTGGCGTGCAACGTCCTGAGAAAGAAAAGGCAACACAAGGGAGAGGGAAAGGAGCTACTGAGCAGCTTATCGCTCTCAGCAATACACCAAGCGTCGTTATTTGCCTATGTGATAAACTATCAAGAGGGAGTATCACGTCTTTGTGGATAATCTCTTCTCCTCAGCAGCTCTCTTCCGTGCCCTGCGAGATCGAGGCCACGGGGCCATAGGCCGAGCCCACCCTAACTGTGGCATCCACAAGGACCTAAAGAGGGATATAGAAAGGGATAAAAGCGGGAAATCGGGCTACAAATTCAATCAGGTCAAGGTCATCCCGACCGCTGACGAGCAGGTAGGGCCTCCTGACGCATTTATATGTGTTTCTCTTACTGATATGTTAACCCCCCCCTTAGGTCGCTCAAATCGCGTGGAAGGATAACAACCTCGTGCTCTTCCTTTCAACTGTATTTAACGGGGCCGATGATCAACGCATTGAGAGAATAAGGAAGAAGCCGGGCGGCCAAGCCTCACATTCAAAGCCGATACAGCAAGAATTTGGTGAGGATTCTCTAAAGGTCATTTCGATCCCGACTGTTGCTGCTGCTTATAACGATGAAATGAATCACGTTGACCGAGGTGACCAATTGAGGTCATATACAACCTATGATCACCGCTTTCGCCGTGACCCTTGGGCCTTGGCAGGCTCTTGCTTGGTCTTTCCTTCTTGAAGTAGCACTTATTAACAGTTATATCCTGCAGAAAAGGGGGAATCCAAATTGGAAGGCATACATAACACCAGAAGAGTGGAAGAAATGCATTTATAACGCCCTCTTTAATAGATACGGTCACGAAGCTCAAGGAAGAAAGAGGAACCGCACAGGGAGGGAAGAGGACGAGGATGATCAAGAAGAACAGCGAAAACACATAGACAGGAAGATCAACCATATCAATCGACACATTAAATCAGATTGCGTAGCTTGTAAGGGCTTCAGGCAAGGGCAGCCTCGACCCAAGCGCAGAAAACGGGGTGATTTACAACAGATCTCGGGTAACGCACAAAGCAGCCATCGAGCGGCCCGGGCAGGCAGACCCGATATGGGTTGTGCCGTGTGTCATGTACCAATTTGTAACCGCAATGACTGCTGGGACTTTTATCATCATATAAAATAGGTGCGCAAAGAAGTATCCCGTGTGGGCTGCAATTTGATTGGTCTGACCCCCTTGTCGTAGCCAGCTTGGAGGGCTATGCCGACTAAAGGGATAATACGATCCTGATATGAGCCTGATCCGGCTAGACTTGAGCCCCCCCCCCCACTGTAGTAAAAAGAGGATTAAAGAAAATACCCAACCGGGCTAGTCAATCAGGCTCAAGCTAGTAGGTGTTGAACAGGTGCTGGGGTGTTACGTGCAAGCAGGGATACTTTAAGATTACGCACCGAAATGGTAGAACCTTCAAGGGGCAGAACGTGGACCCAACACAACATGAATACACGAATCTGCATCAATAGACCGAATACACGTAATGTCTGACAGGATACGAAAACTCGACTTGTTCGGATCGGCGTCCATCATCATCGACCTCTGGCGGTTCATGGTACGACACGCTCTGCATCACGGAGTATTCCTTGTCCACAGCAGGAAGATCCCCATCGGCCGGCTGCACGTACATGAGTCCATACATGCCGTTGGCGATGCAGACAGGTACTGGTGCAGCTGCGCATTGGTACACGTACAGTCCTGGGTATAGCAGCCTTAATCGACCAGTTTTGGTCTCATTTTCCGCGGCTGTAGTCACTGCCGCGCCTCCACCAGGTCCAGTAAATGCATGGTAGTCAATGTTTGGATTGCTTGTCGTATCCTTGTTTGTGAGCGTCAGCTCCTTTCATTTCCATCTCGACACTCGCATTAACACATACTGTGGGCCAAGTCACCTTCGATGATATGAACTAATCACGGCGACGGATAGTGAAAAGGAGAGGGTCGGTCCATAAACCTCTTCGGATCGGGGGCGTATCCTAGTGAAGTGGAGCCTTTTTAGCATCAGATCATAGACAGGCATCTAAGCGAGAAATCTGCGTATCTCCGCGGCATAGGAGCCTTCTCCACGGAGAATCTTGATCTGGCCAAACCGCCGTGCAGGGGTATCAACAAATGAGAATGTTTTATTACTCATCGAACAGCAAATGCACTAATACGCAAAGCGTCTAGCTCAGGCTAATAAGATTTCAAAGTTCCAGGATGAGACAGCTACCTCTAGAGCAGAAGGTCATAGCGGCCAAACTATGGAAATCACCCGAGAAGACGGTTTAGCGGCTATGGTGTGGAAACAACTTTGGCCAGTGGTCCAAGACACCAACGAGGGGGGAGAGATTGTTGGGAAAGGAGAAAGGGAAAAAAAAAAAAAAAAAAAAAGTCGGGAGACGGCCGGGGTGCCAACTAGATGGACGCGTCGGCTGTTCGCCAGCTGGTGTTAGCAGGACATAGCTGCTGACTAAAAGCAGCTGAAACATAGTAGAGAAGTCCACCAAATGAATGTGTTCTGGTGTTATCCTGCGACGCCGGAGGATAGAGCACATCTGCCGAGCAAGATGAAACGTTCGTCCAAGAGTTATGAGTCTCGGGTCTGATAGCGGCTGTTCCGAGTATGGAACCGTGCCGCCATTATGCTGTGATCCATTCCACGAGTCGCCTGTTCTCGCACCCCTGTTCTCCGCGTCGTCAATTCTGGATGAGGCCCGCAATCTGCCGCTGCCGCCGAACAACAGCGACCCTGGAGAACAGTGTAGTGCTTGGCAGCCCTCGAACCCGTCGAACTTCGGGACCGTCGTTATCAGCCCAACCCCTGGCGTAAGTTGTTCGACATCCTCGCGCACGGTGTGTTGCTGACTCCCGATCTTAGCATCTCTCCCCGCCGGGAGCCGACGAAACGATGCCTCACGACTTTCCACCGCCAAGGTTCAACCAAAAGCTGCCCTTGATCCATGGGGTAATTGACAACGGGGATACGATACCCAAGGCGCTAGGAACACCGAAGCGACTCTCGTCTCGCTTCGATATTTCCATCTACAGAGCGCTTGAGTATCTTCCAGGTTTCCGACGGCGGGAGCTGTTCATGCAAAAGATCAACCAGTGCAATAACATCTTCGGATTTAACGACGCGCGACATGTTCTATATGAGCTCCTCGACTATATTGCTAACAACAGGCAAGTCATCACGGGGTCTATGTACCCGAGGGCGGTCCATATGTTCGCCAGGAATCTCTTCCGCCCCAATGAACCCCCAATATGAGATATTCGATCCAGAGGATGAACCAGTTCTTGAGGTTGCTTGGCCGCATATCCAGGTCGTCTACGAGTTTTTCCTACGCTTCATCGAGAGCCCGGATTTCAAGACGAATATTCCCAAGGCCTACACCAACTACAGCTTCGTGCTTCAGCTTTTGCAGCTATTTGATTCCGAAGATCCCCGACCGATGCGCCTGGCTTGAGCTTTTTAAGACGCCCACCATCCCTGCTCATCCTACTCGACCTCCTCGGTCTACTCCTCCTCGGTCTCCTTTAGTCGTCATGATTCCAGAGACGCGAGTCCCACCTCTGCGACAGGCCACTCCTCAACCCGAAGCACGAGATCCTGACCTTCCGCCAACACCGCCAGGAGGACCCCGCGTTCCTCCCCCCCAACCCAAACCGCCGCCTTCTCCTCCGCACACAATCCGTGATTGCGAGATCTGCGTGATTGGGGGCGAAGAGAAGAGGGAAGGGAATGTGATTGATGAGTGACGGGACAGGCCCACGCTCCACCCACGGGGTGTGCAGTCCAGTGAAGAGGATTGGCGCTTGAACGGCGGGTTCGAGCGCTTTACATGTAATTGGCCTGGGGAGGAGGGCGGTTGAAGCGGATTTCTCGCGGCAAGGGTCAAGGAGAGTTGCTTCCGGTTTTGATGCCAAACCTGCGGAGCGATGGAGATGAACTTCTGGGTTCCGAGATTTTACCCTTTTAACACCTCAGGATTATACTGTAACAATATCAGAGACCCGCCTGCCTCAGAACCTTCTCGCCCGGACAAGAACCACCGGCTCGGGAGTGCCTCGAGCCAGTCCCTGTTGTCCAACGTCAATCTGGACTGCGCTGTCGCTATCCAAGCTGCTTCGGCGAACCACCCACCGTCCCAGCCTTACATGGCCACAGGCCCCAACCAGCCACCTCCCATCAAGTATCCCGTCACGGCAAACAACATGCACCAAACATCCTCGCGCTTGCTACGCATGACGGATGACGGCCAGCCGTTCACGAGGGTATGTTCGATGGTTCTACCACTTCCGCCTGCGTGGCCGTCTTCGTGCGTCATTGTGCGGCCTTCCGCGCTCGATGCCCCCCCCCCCCCTTTTTTTTTTTTTTCTTTCCCTGAAACACCGCCTCCCGAACCCTTTCTCGCCAGAGCAATGGCTGATTTTGGTCGTACAATAGGACATCATGGATTTCTTCTCCACCCTCGTCGTCAGTCTCTTGCCGCTCTCGGCCCATCGCGTCCGGTTGACCAAGGTCGAGTAGCGTCCTGCACTTTGATCGACTGGTTGATAAGATATCCACTCCGGTGCCGGTCCATTACTCTCTTGGGCATGAATAGAAGGGGACGAGATGTCCGGGTAGCCGAGTTCTCGAGCTAAAACTTTCTCAGTTGCAGACATGAGCGAACAGTTTGTGAGCCTAAGCGGTTCTACCGATTGCTCTCGCAATTTTTATACGACAACCAAATCGAGGTGCAGATTCTAGACCAGTCTAGCCAAAGTCGCTAGGTCAAGGAATTGATCTTTTTCTCTAGAGCAGTCAGGCAGTGCTGGTGGCGTAGCCCAAGTCATTTATTGCTCGTTCCCTGCCGTAACTTGGTGAGTGGAGGGAACAAAGCCATCTGCAAGTGAAATGCCGCGCTCGGTAATTTGATGTGTTGTTGGTTTGCGACAAGTCCGGTACCTGAGACGGCACCACCCGTGGATTTGCAGAGAGCAAGGGTCTCAGTTTAGACGGTCTACCACCGGTTCGGCAAAAAGTACTAATTCTATTAATCATAAATTGATCGATGCCCTGGGTATTCTTTCTATATGGAAGGTTGACGACTTGGATTCCAGGAATACATTAGTCGTACCAGTTTGGTCAAATTCCCATCCAGAATTGCTTTAGGAAAGGTTGCCACGTGACGGAGTATTTTGTCAATCTGGAGCATTTAGCGTCGCATCGAAGAACCGCTGGTTGCTGTCAGACATTACGTGTATTCGGTCCATTGATCCAGATCTGTGTATTCATCTCGTGTTTTGTCAAATTCTGCCCCTTGAAGGTTTTACCATTTCGGTGCGTAATCTTGAAGTATCCCTGCTTGCACGTGACTCCCTAGCACCTGTTTACAGTTGCCTCCGTTCTCCACGACCCAAGAGCGAAAAGAATGCCGCGACTCTATCACACAAAGTCCAAGACAGGATGTACGCGATGTCGAACACGAAGAGTCAAGGTCAGATTCAGCCTTTTCACAAATGATCCGCTTGTATACGAAGCTATTGTAAAATACAGTGTGATAAAGTCAGACCGACTTGTGTAGGTTTGCTTGTATTACCTTGGTACAGTAGGAACTCCATGTTGAGCTAATGGAACATGGTGGATGCCTTAAGCATCGCGTAGAGTGCATCTACGTTCGTGTTACAACATCAACACAACAACCAGTACCAGCACAAACCTCAGATGTCTCCAGAATTCAACCTGGATCAGCATCATCACCAGCCCATGGCAGTGTTACCTCGCCTAGTCACACTCCCTCAGAGAGTCGCTAACACCGATATCTCGAGCTTCGTCTTTTACACGTCTACATGTCAGAAATATGCCCTCAAATTGCTGGAACACATCTCCTCATGCTCGAAACACTATGGAGCAAAGAGGTACCAAAGCTAGCTCTGCAGAACGAGACACTTTTGAACGCTATCTTGGCCTTATCATGTTTTTACTTGTCTACAGAAGGCAAAGATCCAGACCCCGAGCCCCAAGCAGCCCGCGCAAGCCACCCTGGAGCTGCCATAGAAGCACAGCAAATGTACCTTTCAGGCATGACCAGGGAGAATGCTGATATAGCATGCCTTGTCTCAACCCTGCTTGCGATTAATGCATTTGCAAATTTGATGGTTCGCCCCTTATCCCCTCATGAACCACCCTTTCATTGGTTGCAAATGTCCCGAGGTCTTGGGAGTGTCTTCCGAGAAGCAACATCCCTCTTACGCAACGATCTAGATGCAAAGCTGAGGACTTTAGTTATGGACAGGTCTTACGTTAGCCCTGATATAGTCTTTAATAAGTCAAACCTTCGCAGTTTGGAGCATCTATTTTTCACGAGGAGAAGGTTGAAGATGACGGAGATGCAGAGGCATATGAGAAGGTGACTTGCTGGATTGGCTCTGTTGTAATACAAGCAAGAGAGGCTGGAGAGCATCCAAAAATGATCGCCAGAAGGCTGACATCCTTCTGGGTCCTTACTCCAACGCGGTACATCGAGTTGTTGCAGCTACTTAGACCACGGGCTTTGGTTCTTTTGGCTTATTACTTCGGGCTGGCCAGCTGGTTCGATAATTTCTGGTGGATTGGTTCGTCTCCAACAAGAGAGGTTAAAGCGAGAAGGCCCATCTAGGACCTGATTGGCAAGAGCTTATGTCGTGGCCTACTGAGCAACTGACGAGACAGCCTTATCAGGGCTGAGAAAGAAATGGGGAGACCTCGACCTGAGTCTAATGAATTTGGACAAAATCTCTTGGGATGCGATGATACAACTATACGAGTATTATGACCAAGTTTAACCTATTTATCTCGAAAACAACCAAGGGCAACTAAAGTCTGATTTATCATAATAGCACTTGATGATCAACGTACTTAGAACCAATCGTTGTTTATATTGCGCAGTAGCGCTGAGTGAAAATATTGATTGAACTTGATTGTTAATTATTGAGTTGAGAGTTCTTCTCGGGTTTATATCTCTAGATGTTTTCATCTAGGACTTTGAACTCTAAATCTAGGACGTTCAGACTAGCAGTCAGAATCCTGAAGGGAAGGGGATCCCCAGATTTTCCAACAGATAAGCGAAGGGCGGATTTTCTAACACCCCATCTCAGTCAATATTAATTACACCACCACAACATCTCTAATTCTAAAATACTACTCGGGATCATTTACATAAATCATATATCCCTCTCACTCATCCGCAAATTGTGTTCGGGCTTGCCGCACCTCTCGCAATTTGGTTTACTTGCTTGGTCCACTCCAGGCTGACTACCACTCCTGTCCATTTCCTTCTCGATCTCCTTCTTTACACCATTCTGAGATATCATATGTTGCCCTGTTTGAACAGAAAGCATTCCACCAAGTTGGAGACTTGTTCTTTTTGCCCTCCGACATGGCGTCGAGAGACTGAGTTGATTAGCATCGCCACCAATCGAGCCGAAATAGAAATGTCTGATGCACGGGCCCGTTGTTGAGTAAAGGAGACTTGATTCAGGATATATCGTCTTGCAGTGGGCAGCAACACATACACCAACTTCGCTCCCGATAAGTTCCAACTCATCTTTTGCATATGATCAAGGACAAAGATGGACGTTGCCCAGCTTCTACAGACCATATTAGACGAAATTTGCGAGAAGGGAGATGACGCCATTAACGGGCTCATTTTTCTTGGTTGGTGGTAACTCTAGAGGAGAGAAGGCCCTGGCATTAGGATATCCTTTCGTCAAACATACAAATCGTCACCAGCATAGATGCGGATACTCTCCACATCGGCTCGATTCGGAGATGCAGTCCTTGCCACACGCTGCTCAGGTTCTCGTGTTTCTGCCTTTCCGACAATAGACTACTCCACGACGGTGCTGAGAACCCGAGCCACGGCGCGTTGGGGCGAGGGCCAAGTGCTCGCAGGACGAGCGGAGGTTAATATTTCCTTGGAGGGGGTTCGCGACGGGGTCGATATGTTACCGGTGCCAGAAGCAGGAGTGTTGGTCTGTTGTGGCTCCGGTGTAGTGGTCAATCCGCCAACAGATAGGGACGCAGCTGCAGCAATATGCTCGAGAAGCTTCTGATGGACGCGGATTCGTCGGTTCTCTGCCTGTTCCAACTTCATCGCCCAGTCATCAATAGAGGCATTCAGACTCGCAAGTACCTCCTCCTGTTTCAGCAACAACTCATGGCTGAACTTGGCGATATGAGGAGAACGCAGGTACTGGCAGATGCGTGAGTGGAGGTTTCGGTGGCCTATGCGGAGAGCATTGTAGGTATGACGCAAGTATTCAGTCCTCTCATCCAAGTGACGGAGTTCCTGTAGAATTATTAGTTGGGTTCCGCTGGCAATACTGACTATATGACTGACCTTAGAAAGCGTCTCGATATCCGCTGCCTTAAGAATATTGAATCGCCTTACCTGGTCGAACGCTTTCTTTTGAAGTAAAGTAAGTTCAGACTGCTCGAGTTGCTCAGAGGCATCGGCATGCTTCAGACCAATAGGCAACGGTTCAAATGCCTTTTGCTCCGAGCTTTTGCCTCTCTTCGGCTCTGATATCTGGATGAATGGACCGTTGTTGGTGCCTAAGCCAGGTTCCTCCCTCGGTAGGACTCTGCCCATGATCCCCGATGATTCCAAGCCACCCTTTCGGTGGCCTCGGGAGACACTACCTGCTTCTGTCGTGATGGTGGGAGGAGTGTAGCGTCCATCCCATAGCTTAAGAGCCGCGGCACTAGACTCCATTAGTGGTGCTGAAACAGGAGTAGGCGGCGTGCCGCAGGACGTGGCATTGGCCGATGCTGACTTAGGTGCCGTGAGATCGGGTATAGAAGACTTGGGTATGGAGGCCGTGCGGCTTTGGGGCGATCCATTGATGCGACCAAGTCTAGGAGAATCATTCCTAGTAGGGAAGTAGTTGAGGGATTGCAGGCGCTGGAGTAAGGGTAATGGTGCATCAGACTTGGGGTTGACCAGGGGGTCAAGGTACTTCGGCGAGACGGTGGCTATGCCTTGAGGGCATGCCTGAGGAGCCTCTTTGCCGTGAGACTGAGGCTGGGGACTTTTATCATCGCTGGAGATGTAAAGTGAAGTATCTGTAAGCAGATCCTTTCCGAACGAATTACAAGGGACACTAATAGAGCGCGCGTGGAAGGGCGGGCGTCCAGGAATAGCCGCTGGTATTCAGTCAGTTCTCAAAATCAAATGCTAGGCTTGGATCACGTACGGGAATCAATGGTAAGGCCTTGAACTGCTGTCATGGGCCCAAGCTCTGGTACACTGATTTTGCGCTGTCGGACCAAACTATACTGGTCGAGCCTCTTTTTCAGGCCACTGGGAGCTAGCGCGAGCTTGTCTATCTTATCACTCGTTGGCACCGACAGTGTAGAAATAGCTTTCTCGACATCCACGCCTTTAGTCCTGCTGTTCAGGACCGGCAACCTCCTCTTCTTGGGGAAGAGCTGGTACTTCCGCAGTGGGTCAGGCTGTCGCAATTCCCAAGTAAATGGCATCTCTGGATGAAGCTGATTCTGAGGAGATAGGATAGGTAAGTCTGGGATAAAACGAAAGACTTAAAGTGTCGAGGGAGTTGCGATCATACTAAGTCATTTGAGGACTGAGAGGGTGGCTTTGTTACATGGGTGGCACAAATATTGACGACGCATTTAGCAATGTGAGCCATCGTGTCAATATAATCCTATTTGGTCGAGGGGCTAGAAGGGGAAGTAGGTCAGTGCTAGGGATTGATGGCGCCGGCTTGATATAATATTGCCGCCGATGTTAGGGCGGCGAGCCTAGCATTGGTTAACGGAGATACTGTAGGGTGGAGTGTTCCGGCTTTGACGAAGCTGGTAGGACGTGGGTGCAATGTCGGTTGTGGGATTGATGGTATATAGCAAATCGAAGTGTGGATTGCAACCCCAAGACTGGTTTAACGCCATGATCGCGCGCCGTCGAGTTGGGTTCCTTAGCTGGTAGCTGGGCATGCAGTCACCGGAAGACAGGTTGTTTCATTCATCTGCCCCTGTTGATGGCCATGACTGAATAGTTGGGGCCGCTGACCACAGCCATGGCCTGGGGACGACGTTGGACAAGAACCAAGAGGAGGTGCCCAGGCCCGATGCTCACCCCCGCCATCAAAACAAAGCCATACATAGAAGGACGCAAACTGCCTAGGGTCGGGCTAGTAGCCAAAAACGGAAAAGATTGGCAGGGCCTGTAGAGAACAGACTAGGAGATTGCCAATGGCCGCCAGTCGATACCTCGTTGGTAGTCTTGCTCTATCACACATCATCTCCCGTCACAGTGGTCCCCAAGTCCCCAGGAGGTCCCTGGGGCCACGAGGAGTCGTGTAACCGAGGCAGGGCTTACCGCCCCACCATGATGCTCGAAGATGAAAACCCCCCCTGGAGACTGACAGTCTTGGCATGCTGATTCTTCGAGCGAGGGCTGAAATATCGTACAAAAATCTTCCTATCAATCATCGTCATTGATATATGAGCCGCCATGGCTCGGGCGGGTGTTGATGATGTTTGAAAGAATGGAGGGCTCGAGCAGAAAACGGAGTCAAAATCAGCCAATATTGATAGGCGCCACTATTGCCATGACTCAGGTACGGCAACACCTTACGTTTTGGGCTGTCATGGCCGTTCCGAGGCAGTGGCGCTCGGGGAAGGTGCGTTTTATAGCAGGTCAAATCTGGAAGGAGAGCCAAAGAAGGAGATACACCTGGCGCCGATCTAGTCCATTGGGTTACTTCGCTTAACATCCTCCCTCTTTCTTGGTCACGTTTTCTCGAATAAAGCCAAGTTCAAGTTTCAAGGGTCTAGAATTGGCCAATTATCGTTACTTTAACTTGTTAGATCAGAGCTCGATTTTCAGCCTTTGTCAATGCTCAAAGCTCAAAGCTCCGACATGACCGACGATCCAGATCGACCTGAATCCACTACCATGCAGTACCCACCCACCGGTAACACGATCTACCGGTAAGCAAAAAAAGAGTTTCCCCATACAAACTGCCTTTTTTCAATAACACGGTTCTGGGCCCAGCCTGGACCTATCCCGCCAGGGTAAGCACCATCTTGTCGAAAATGTCATGTTGATTGATTGTATCACATTGCTTTTGAGGTGACGTAAGTGGCTTAGACGCACAGAACCAATGTAAAACTCCTACGGATGGCTCTCCATGACTTGGCCTCCTGGAACCTCCATGAGATCTTTTACCTACATCAAACCCCTGCAACCGTCTTAAAAATGCCTCGCCAATCTTATACATAAGATGAAGTTGCCGAAGCAATGTTAGATGTCACAGACAACGACCTTTCCCAGAACCAATCCGTCCAGAAGCACGGCATGTCCCAGACGACTCTTTCAGACCGATTAAGAGGTCTACCGTCAAAACCTGAGGTCACCCAGCCTGCCCAGCTGCTATCCAAATCTTATGAGTCCAGATTAGTCACCTGGATACTTCGATAAGAGGCCTTGGGCTATGCTCCTTCTCACAGTCAAGTTCGCGCTACCGTCACTGCCCTCCTACGACGGCAGGGAGAGGCCTATCGGCGTACACTGGCTAGCCAGGTTCATGAAACGGCATCCACCCATAAAAACGAAGATAGGAAAACGTCAGGAGGCGTCTAGGTTCAATCCTTTTACCCCAACCGCCGTCAATTGGTACTTTGATATCCGCGAGAGCGAGTATGGCTGGATCAAGCCTGAG